GCTGGGAAGGGGGTGCCTGCTGCGCGAGAACCAGAATTGGCCTGAAGTCCAGAAGCACCAACTGCATTTTTGTAGCTTTGTGCTCTCAAAAATACAAGCACTAACATGCATCACAGAGAAGGGGGAAGGCCTGATCTGTAGCCTGTGCCTTAGCACATGGAGGAGCACACCAGCGCTACCCAACTGGAAAAGAGGTCATTGCAGGAAGAGGTGGGAAAGTTGAGATTCACAAAAACACAGGGAAAGGGTGGCCCTCTGGAGCCAGGCATTGTGAGGAGAGGGGCAGCAGCCAGAAGGCCTTGGCCGCTTCCTCCTCCACGCCAGCTGGGACCTCCCCATCACAGCGCAGGGCACTCACCTCTCCTCTGGTCCAGCCGGTCCATCTGCTTCCTGACAGTGAGGACTCCCAGGGTACGGAACGGGCTTCCACAGCGGGTGGCTGAGGCCCCATCGGTGCGGGTGTTCAAGGATAGGCTGGACATGCACGCGGTGTGCATGTCATGGGTGGAGCTGGGGGTCAGACTAGATGGCCCAGGAGGCCCCTACTGACTCGCTCTATGTTTCTATCTCCCAAGGAAGCCATGAGAGAAAAGGGTCAGGAGAACACGCGCCAGCCGGCACAAATGCGGCCATCCTGATCCCTCGCCAGTGCGCAAAAAAGGAACCCAGTCGCTCGGCACTGGGCGAGACAGGGCACTGGCCAGGCCGAGGCTCTGTTCCTTCTGCTTTCCGAGTCAGCGTGAAAGCCAGAGACAGTTTTTTGGATTTTTAGATAATACTTTGTATTTCTTGTAAATAATAAGAAACAGAATGAAGAACAGAAACATTAAAAGAAAAGTTACCAAAGGACCGCACACCAGAAGTTCCGCAAGGAACAGGCCGCAGGCATTGACTCACCAAACCCTAAAACTACAGTTTTGCATGATAACAGTTACAGATAGTACTCAATTAGATTATTAAGTAGGCAAATAATAATAATTTCACAGAGAAAATTACTTTAACATAGATGAATGAGCTGTGATTCACCACAGAACATATCCGGAAACTAGATTAAAATAAAAAAATAGTTCCCCCCTTTTCTTTCTCCCCTCGTCTCCCTCTCCACTTCTCACCCACTTCTCCTCTTCCTCCCCTCCTTATTTCAGAAAACAATACACAGAAACAGAGAAACAGAGTGAGTCAGAAGGGGCCTCCTGGGCCATCTAGTCTGACCCCAGCTCCAACTGGCTCTGCTCATGACATGCCCTCTTTCCTCTTTCGTCTAACCCCTCTAACCACCTCCTTTTGCATCCATGGCGGCACTCTCCTCTGCCTCCCCACCTTACTGACTAGAGGAATCATCAAGGCTTGCGCCTCCAAAACCTCCCTTTTGAGTGCCGTCCACCCCTCCTCAACTCGCTTGCCTTCCAGTAACCTATCCCAGGAGACTTTCCCCAGTCTGGCCTTCAGTTGGCCAAAGTTGGCCTTCTTGAAGTCCCAGCTTCTAGTGCTCGACCTGCTGCACGTCCCCAGTCCCCTGATCTCAAAGCAAAGGATGGAGGGATCACTCGCATCCAGAGCTCCCCTAATCTGTACTTCATCTATCAGCTCCTCCCTATTGGTCAAGACCAAGTCAAGGATGTTTCCCCCCCTCGTCGCCTCTCGGACCCTCTGTGTGAAAAACCCTCCCTCTATAGCTTCTAGGAAGCGACGTGACCTGGCTGTCACCGCCGAGTGAGTCTCCCAACTAATATCCGGGAGATTGAAATCTCCCATAATTACTGTGTCTCTCCCCCGAGATATCCTTAGAATCTGGCCTGTCAGGACATCATCCAGGGTCTCAAGCTGACCTGGAGGGCGATAACATACCCCCACTGTCAGGTCCCTTTCCCTGTCAAAACCCCTAAGTTTCACCCAGACTGCCTCTACCGAATCCCCATCTGTGCTGCATTCTGTCTCACTGCATCCTATCCCTTCCCTGACGTATAAAGCTATGTCCCCACCCCTCTTTCCCTTCCTGTCCTTTCTAAAAAGGTGAAACCCTTCTATGTTCACATTCCAGTCTTGCCTTTCATCCCACCAAGTTTCTGTGATCCCCACCAGGCCATACCCTCCTATTCCCAGGAGAGCTTCAAGCTCTTCCTGCTTATTACCCATGCTCCTAGCATTGGTGTACATGCACCTCAACTCCTTCCCACCGTTTCCTTTCCTTGGAGTTCCCGGCCTCCTCCTTCCTCCCATCCTCCCTGATACCTGGCCCCTCTCTGTAGGAGTCCTGTCAGTCCCTGCAGGACCTCTAAAACCCTGCTCCCAGAGCCCTGATCCTCTCCCCACACTTGTCCAGTGCAGACACGTTTCTGGGGGGTCTGAACATCCCCTCCCGGCTTCCAGACGAAGCTCGCTGGAGCATCTCCAAAGGACCTTTTCCCCAGCCTTGTGAAAAGGTCCTTTGGAGATACCTCAAAATTCTATTTTTTCTCTTCATTACAAATTAAGTAAAAATACGCTTTCCAATTGTAACTAAATTCATTAACTGGATGTCTTTTTCATGACTTATTAAGAGATATATCAGCTTAATTGTCCTTACTCAAACTCTTCTTTTGTTTTTGTCTCACTTATTAATTGCAGTATGCATAATAAGCTTTCCATTCATCGTTAAAATCTTGGACTGGTCTGTTTACATAGTCGGTCCAGCTTGCCAGCACCGCATGTTCGGCTAGCTCGTTTCCCCCGGGAAGCAAGCAAGACGTTTGATGTCACCCAGAGCTTTGGGCCACTCGTCGCAGTGGGGCTCGTGGCCCAGCACAGGGCCCCGGGGCAGCAGGAGGAAGCCCCCGGGGCATGGAGGAGCGCTCTCCCCTGCGCGGCGCCTCGGTCCGCGGGGCAGCTGTCTGGCCGCACAGTGCTGAAAGCAGGGGGAGCCGGCGGCGGGGCTCTGCCCCCACCCTGGCCGGGCTCTTGCCTTGCCTTGCCTTGCCTTGCCCGGGCGGGCGGGCGGGCGGGCGGGCAGCCGTGCAGACCCGGCGCTCTGAGCCCGCCTCCCTGTGGTCAGGCACGGAGGAGGTTTCGAGGCCTTCCCCCATGCCCAGTCCTTCCACCGCTCTCCTGGGAGCCAGCGGCCATGGGGCACGGAGGGAACGGGGGGCCCCTTCCGCCAGTCTCCGCCGCTGGCGCTGGGACCGCAGGCTGGCTCGTGAGCCACCCCCTCCCCCGCACGGGCAGCGTGGCTGGCAGGGAATCTGAGGGGGCTGCGCCGTTGCCCACCCGGGCGGGCAGGAGGACGCCGCATCCCCAGCAAGCACATGGGTGGCGTCATGGCTGCTCGGGCCTCACGCCGCAGGCTCTTCAAGGGCTGGAGACCCAAGACGGCAAGGGAGGCAGGCTCTGGGCTCAGGAGCCCGTCACGGCAGAGCAGCACTGGAGGGGCCGGCAGGACCACCGGTCCAGCCCTGCTCAGAGCAGGGCTCCACGAAGCATCCCTGGCAGGCACCTGCCCAGCTGCAGCCCGAGTGCCCACCACCTCTGGGGCCCCGGGCACGTTGCTGCGCCGCTCTGTTACTTATTATTACTTATTTGAAGCACTTGCGTACTGTTTGATTAGAACAGAGCTCTCAGAGCGGTTCACAAGCAATAACAGGCAGGACGTGCCTCCTGCTGTCTGGCCAGAGCCCGGCATCCTGTAGCGTGAGGAGAGGGTTTGCCCCCCGCGCCTCCAAGAGCTCATGACCCTCGGCTGGAGCAACCGAGGGGCCATCCCACCGGGCCTCCTGCTCCCCACAGCGGCCGCCCGCCCGCCTTTGGTTCTCTGCGCCCAGGGCTCGCCAGGGGAGGCTCCCCTCAGCTCAGCGGACCTGCTGACGAACGGGCAGCCCAGCCCGTGAACCGGCCCGGCGCTTCTTGCGGCCATCGGAGGGAGAGGCCCCGCTCACCTGGCGGCAGCAGGCCCCATGCATTTGCAATAGGCTGCTCGCGCCTGCCCCACTCCGCTGCCAAAGAGCAGCCTGGGGTGTCTGCGGAGGAGGGTGGGCGGAGCTGTTGGGGCACCCCCTCTCCATCACTCACGGTCCCCATGGCGGCGGAGCCAGGAAATGAGGAGCGTGGCCGCCCACGGAAGGGCCACCTGAGGGCGTCCTCTCTGCCCTGATTACGGAATCGACGCCCCAGGGAGGCCCGCCTGGCACCGGCACCCGCGCCTTTCGGTGCCTTGGCCAAATGAGGCCAAGCCCTTATTTTCTCAAAGTTTTCATTGTGAGAATGTTTTTACATTATATTTTATATTCCGTAGTAATTGTGCCTGCTGTTGAATCACTATTTTATGATTTATCTATTTATTTAGTAGTATTTATTTAAATCTATTCTGTTTATTATTTCTTTGAATTCATTTAACTATTCAAAATTAATTTTATTGTTCTGTTAACCAGAGTTGCGATCATGTGGCCTCCATTAATATGCAGGTAAAGACAAGAGGCGGCTGATAGATTTATAGATTTATTTATAATGACCCTTTGTAATTTGTCTTAGTGTTTTTAATGATGACATTGTTGCAGGATGCTGTCATATTATAATTATGAGCATCCATATTTTTAGCAGTGCTTTTCTGTAAACCGTTCTGGTTGCATGGTTGTTGAATGGTATATAAAAGCAATGCATGCATGCATACATACATGCATGCATACATACATATCCACCATGCCTTGGCGGGCAGCTTAATTTAGAAAAGAAATATCACCTGTTTGTACATTTAAAACACGGGGAGGAAACCCGCAGCCAGGGTGGTGAGGCCCGAAGGAAGGGCCCAGCACCCAGCGCCTGGGCCACACGGGGGCCCGGCGTTCCACCCGCAGCGCTTCGCGGCCCCGTGCCCGCGCCTGCCTGGAGCTGCCTTGGGCCGTGGAGCGGGCGCTGGCAGCAGGAGCCGCCGGTGGTCCCCAGCTGGAGCTGTCCCAGGACGGCGGCGCTCCCAGCGCTCTGCCAAAAGGTGACCTCCCTGCTCTTCTGTTTTCCATGGGGTGCTGCATCAGAAATCCAAGATCTCCACCTTTGAAAAGATGTGGGCCTTCATGAGCAGCAAGTCCTCAGCGCTTGTCAAGAATAACGAGGAAGGGATCCAGCGTGCCCTCACCTCTGACTACGCCCTCCTGATGGAGTCCACCACCATTGAGTACATCACCCAAAGGAACTGCAACCTGACCCAGATTGGGGGTCTGATTGACTCCAAGGGCTACGGGATTGGCACTCCCATGGGTGAGCGGCGGCGGCGCCCAGTGGGGGGGAGGATGGCAGCACGGCACCTGACACCACGCGCACGGCAGGCATGCATCCCCGAGGAGACCCTGGAGGAAAGTTGGACCCACAGCCTGAGAGAGGTCCCAGGCTCTGTGCGCCTGGCAGGGGAATGAATGCTGGCAAGAACGGCGAAACTTGCCTTAAGCCAAAATGGTTCTGAGCCCCAGGCGTGCCGCTTGCGTACCGAAGCCTTCAGAAGCACCCCCCCCCCCAAGTGCTAGGTAGGAGGGCTCTGTTGCTCCCCCTGAAATGGGCCTTCTGAAGTGACCTCGCCCTGGGCAGTGACCATTTAATTCCAGGACTCCGGCTTCCACTCCGTGCCCAGCATTTCCTGGAAGTCTCTGCTTGCCTCTCCTTTTTCAGCAGGTTTCTAGGCCTCATGACTGCAAAGCATGCAAACGCTCAGAAGGTAGAAGCAGGGCCGTGAGATTGCCCGTGGGGCCGGTGACCTCCGCACCCCCTGCCCTTCTGCCACCACTAGCCAAAGAACGCAGATGCGTGCAGCGTGCATAATTTGCACGAGTCGGCGTGATGCAGCTTCCTTGTGTGCAGATGTATTTGCATTCCAGAGCAGGATTGCTTCTCGCACGGCCACTCTGCTTATGATGGGATGCCCGTGTTCTTTGCTTCCTCAGGCTCGCCCTACAGAGACAAGATCACCATCGCGATTCTCCAGCTTCAGGAGGAGGCCAAGCTGCACGCCATGAAGGACAAATGGTGGCGAAGCAATGGCTGCCCCGAAGAGGAGAGCAAGGAAGCTAGTGCGCTCGGGATCCAGAACATCGGCGGGCTCTTCATTGTCTTGGCTGCTGGTCTGGTCCTCTCCGTATTCGTAGCCACTGTGGAATTTGTCTACAAGCTGCGCAAAACCGCTGAGCGTGAGCAGGTATTGGCCGCCGCACCCTGCAGCCCCCTGCGCCGCCCTCATCGCCTCCTTCCCTGCGCAAGGGCCCCCAGCCCCCCTGAGCTAGAAAGCAGGGCCTGTGCCCCCAAGCCCCACCCTCCCTCGAATGGGGAAGCATCTTCGGAAAGGCCCTTCCCTGCCCTGTGGCCCTATTTGCTACTTGCTGGAAATGTCTCGTCCGCATTACTTGCCACCCCAGCCGGGGGTGGCGGGTGCCACTCGTTTAGGTGGCTTGAAGAACAGTGCGGAGGCAGGGACCAGGCAGGCTGTGGGAGAATTCCCTGACGCCGTGGCCGGCAGCCCCCCCAGGGACCCGCAGCACGGAGCCGGCCCTCCCGAGCAAGGAGGTGGGCACCCTGCCCCCGGGCCGGAGAGCCTGGCCCAACCCATGGAGGCTAGCACAGGGTCCCGAGCCCCCCGGCCGTGACTGAGGGCCAGGCCAGGAACGGAGCCGGGGCCTCCCGCTGCCCCGCTCCACGGCCGTTGCGCCCCGGCCAAGTCTGCCGCCACATCTAACGGGGGCCTTCTCTTCTCTTCCCTCCCCTCCCCTCCCCTCCCCTCCCGCCACCCTGCCTCCAGCGCTCCTTCTGCAGTGCCGTGGCGGACGAGATCCGGCTGTCGCTCACCTGCCACCGGCGAGTGAAGCACAAGCCGCAGCCGCCCGTCATGGTGAAGGCGGACGCAGTGATCAACATGCACACCTTCAACGACCGACGGCTCCCCGGGAAGGACAACCTGACCTGCAGCACGGGGCTGACCCCTGTGTTCCCGTGAGCGGAGGAGGGAGGCACGCCGGGGGGTGGGGGCGTGCTGGACCTGGGAGGGGGAAAGGCACACCCACGCCACGGAAGCCGGGAATGAGCCACTGCTGGGTTTTTCTCACAGAAAGCCAGGCCTTCAATGCAACTACAGCCATCATCCAACTTGGAAGCAAGAACTCGGCGCACGGGCCACGGTGTCTTCACTTTGGAATCGCTATTTTCTTTTCAGTCAAGGTTTACGCAGCACTGCAGGCCTCTCAGCACCTGAATACCGCCCCTGAGCCAGATGCGCCTGAGAGTCTTGAGGTTTACATATCAGACTAGTGGAAGAAGCAAGCGGGACATGGACTCACGTAGTTCAGGGAAGAATCACAACGCCCTTGGATCTAAAACTTCCCTTTAAGTATGGCAATAAACAAAATGAAAAGCGTGGGCTCAGATAGGTCATGATCAGAACTGGCCTCCCCGTGTCTCTGAAGTGCAGCTGGGAGGTTGAGGGGGAAGGACCGAAGGAGAATTCATCATCGCAGCCACTGAGGGGCCCCAACAGTGTCCGGTCACCGCCACACTGTCCTGCATACTCGCCCGTCGGAAAGACCCTGCCTTGAAGCCCCCACCAGCACCCCTGTCATGCCTGGGCGTCCTGCCGCCTTCTCCCCGTGGCCACGGGAAGCCTGCACCTCCGGACAGGTGGCTGTGCTGGGGAGGGAGGGCAGGAGCCGAGGGGAAGAAGAGGATTCCGAGGAGGTCAGCGACCCCCCACCTGGCGGGCAGCCTGGTGCAGGCAGGAGGAGTCCTGCCCCACAGACAGCAGCTTCCTAGCCCCCAGCCATCCTCTTCCCCAAGCCAGTGTTGCAGGCGCAGCAAAGCCAGAGATCCTGGGGAAGAGAGGCCACCTTTCCAGCAAAACCTGCCACTCAGAAGTCAGGGCCATGTTGATGCTGCCAACACAGTGGAAGTGGGTTGGGCACCGTGGGGAAAATTTGGCATCCCTTTTGGGTTGGGGGCGGGACTGGCCACAAATGCTCCACCAGACCAGCAGTGGCGCCTGGAGGTGAAGCTGAGTTTGGGGCACAGCTGAGTTTGGTTACACAAAAGTAGGACTGCAGCCCAAGCCAGCCACCATAACCCGTACCTGTGCTGCCATTCAAGAGGAACACCTTCTCCCTTGGGTCTATGAGCTGCCCCTTAGTCGTCTTCTTTTTCCCCCGGGCAGAATTTTTCTCTCCCAATAACCAAAGACTGCCTTCATGTGCCATTTCAAAGAACACAGTAAGGGGGTGGCTCTTCTTGCTCTTGTTTGTGGCATCAACAAACACAAATTCTGATGTGTCTCTTTCCTGGGAAACCATCGACATGAACTTCCGGGATGCCAAGTTGCATCTTTGGCCAGATCAAGACTGAACCAAACTTTTCTTTTGATTTGTGATCTTAATGTACCTTGCAAGTTGAGTTTTGACATCATATTCCAGTTCAAAAATGGTAGTGGTTGATAACATTCCAGTCAAGCCTAGCTAAGAAGATTGGGAGTGGGCAGGCCAAGGAAGAGCCTGGATTCAGGGCTTGGCAGAGCTGGAGGATTCCGAGTCCTGGCATGAGCGAACGGTGTGGGCGTGGGAATCGGCAGGCCGTGCGCTCAGCTGCCCTGCAAGGCCCGTGCTGCGCGCTCTCTGCAGCATGGAGCCTCGGCCGCAGGGACCACCTTCGTGCACCTGGCCGTGCCCCCGAGCGCTGGGGAGACCAGGCTGTGGCACCGGCAGCCGTCCTGCAGATGCTTTGTGGAGGAGCAAATGGTTGGCCCAGGGTGGGAGCTCTGGCTCAGGCAGGTGCTCCAGAGAAGGTCCCACGAAGCTCTGCTTGCATTCCCTTTCCCGGCCTGTCAAAATAGCTGTGTGAGGCTGCAGTCAGGAGTTAGGGATGGAGGGTGGCCACTTCTCTCCTCTGCTCCTCAGAAGGGGTACAGGGACCTGCAGGGAGAATGCGCTCGGGAGGAAGGTTGGGAAGAGCGTGCTGGAATGCGCATGTGGCGGCTTGGCCTCCAGCGGCCCAGGCTCCCCAGAGGAACCACGTCCACTCCGGGCACGCCGTGGCTCTCCAGCCTGCCGCTCCGCACCTCTCCTTCCCACAGCTCTGTCTCTGTTGCCCAGCCTCCTGTCTCCTGTGGCACCTACTGCTATGCCAGTGAAAACACTGCAGAAATGGCACTGGGGAGCCAGGGCGGTTATAGTAAAAGTTACAGAACAAACAACCCAAGCTGCTTAATTCTGACCAGGAAAGAGAGGGTGGTTTGGCTGGAAGACATGGATACCTGTGGAACTTCTGCCGCTGTGACAGTGGCCCATTTCAGACATGTCCTCCCTGCAACTTTGAGCTTGAGAAGGAGCCTGGGATGGATGCGGCTGCTTCCACCAGCCAGAACTTGCCATGTTAAATCGTGGAAGTGGCAGAGAAGAAATTGCCAGACCATCCCAATTCAGCCAAGCCCTCGCTGGTCGTAATGTCCTCTCATGAGCAGTGGTCTTATCGCGCTGAGTGTTGAGGTGGGCGGGTGCTACTTTGCAGCTCCATTTTGGGATTTGGTTACCAGGTTTCTTTAGCAAAAACTGCCCAGAGGAATTGTTTATTAAATCAGGACTTTGCTTCTTGAGGTGGTTTCCAAATCAACCATTTGAGCACAAACTGTTTGCTCTTGCATCCAGGTGAAACGATCAAGAACCTGCTCTGAGTCCTGCCTTGGATGCATGTGTCATGTGAAACAGCTTTTGCTCGCTTGGCTTTGCTGTAAGCGTGTCCCCCTCTGCTCTCTTTCCTGTGTTTGTCTTTCACAGCAGGTTTGTTGATACAAATGTTTTGGGAACGTTCAGAACAAGGAATAGTCACTTTGCAATGCTCCGACTGGCCCTGCAGTCGGATGGGGTTCTGAGGGAAAGCAGGCCGGGGGAGCGCCCCCCCCCTTTGCGCCTGGCGTGGCAGCACGGGCTGCTCACGGCTCGGTGGGGCACCTCAGCTGGCCACGGGGCCAGGCACGCACACGGGAGCACCGCGTGTGCTGCAGGGAGGGGCACGGGCGGCGGGTGGGGGTTCCACTGCTCTAGCAACTGCAGGTCTCTCCCGCAGCCGAAATGTTGGCCCGGGCACCACCCGGGACCCCAGCAAGGCACCCTCTCTGCTGCCCTGAAGGCCAGGAAGCGCTGCTCAGTCTCCCTGGCGCTGGATGGAAAGTGCCGCCCTTACGTTGCCCGTGTGGCTCTGCAAAGTGGGAGACTTGACGGCTTCCAGAGGCCCTGCCTTCCGGTGGTCACGGCAAACACGAAGCGGTTGTGCAAGTCTCATCCCGAACACACACACACACTCCTATGGAAGCACCTCTCGGTCACCAGTACCTGCTTGGCTCTCGAAAGCAGCAATCCAGTCGCTGCGCACGGACGGTCTGTTTGCCACAACTAAGAATGGCGGAGCATCGTTGCCAAATTGCCCTTCTATCGTACGTCCCAAGCTCCTCTTGACCTATTTTGGCCTGTTTCTCAACAATCACGATCAGAACTGGTCTCTGTGACATTCAGGGGAAATACTCCTTTGTGGACATGCAGAAATTTCTATGAATATAGTTTTTTTGTAAACATTTTGTAACAATTTTGGTTTCATAGTAACTGTGTTACTTGCAGATCATTCTAGGCAGATGTAAATAAAATTCCCTCCCCCAAATGCATTTAAAGTTTTAAAATAAGAAAAAAAATGGATTATTTTCCTTTTTAAGACACTGTGATATATCAAAGTGCACAGTTTGCTGTATGAGATAACATTGTTTTAAATTTTAAATAAAGAATTTCTACAAAAGAAACACCCAGCATTTTGTTACTCATCCGTTAGTAATACAAAAATGTCTAATAATATACAGAGTGTCACAAGCATGTACTTGACAAGCAGTTTGTGTGTGTCTGCGTGTGTGCGGGCGCATGTGAACGCACGTGCAGGAGAAGCTGAATTTAACTGGTCAGACTCCTTTATACAATCACAGCATGCTAGAACCATAGGCCAGGGAGGCCCAAGGGCAGCGGAGGGGGCGGGCCAGCAGCCCCCGAGGCGTCTGAAGCCAAGCTCAGTGGAAGAAAGGGGTTGGGGAGCCAGGGAGTGGGGCTCAGGGAAGGAGCCGAGAGGTACGTGCACCAACGCAGGAGCATGGGAAACAAGCTTTTTATTATTATTATTATTGTTATTGTTATTATTATTATAACATTTCTATGCCGCCCCTTGCCGAAACCTCGGGATGGCTTACAACACGATAAAATACATTGAAATACAATAGCACATAATAAATTACCATTAAATACAAAAATACAAAAAATACATTGATTTACAAATATAAGATTAAAATTATCAGTATAAATTAAGTAAATAAAAATATAGGAGGAGAAAGAGAAGGAAGAAGAAGTTGCCCTGGCCAGATCATATGTTTTAACAATTAAAATGTTTAAATAAAAAGGTCTTTACCTGGCGCCGAAAAACCAGTAACGACGGTGCCAGGCGGACCTCTTTGGGGAGTGAATTCCATAGGTTGGGCGCCACCGCAGAGAAAGCCCTCCTCCGAGTACTTACTCTCCTAATTTCTTTCATGGAGGGTTCCCGGAGAAGGGACTCTCCCGCAGATCTCAAAGGGCGGTCGGGCATATACGGACGTCAGCACTCGTTCAGGTAGCCAGGACCCAAGCTGTTTAGGGCTTTATAGGTCATAATCAACACCTTGAGCTTGAGACGGCAACATGATGGCGACCATGGAAACATGGCGGGATGGAAAGCAGGACTGGAAAGCCAGCATGGAGGGGATGCTCTGCTTCGGAAGGGCAGGAAGGGGGAGAGCGATGGGGTGCGGCGCTACATGTTTAGGAAGGGGCAGGGTGCCGTGAGGTGGGGGGGGGGG